TGAATGGTAAATTTGAAATATAGGTCAAATTGCGGTCGTGATCTATTTCACAGTTCGAATGATTTTTTTTAATTTATTGAGCGTTTTTCCTGGAAAGATCACAACAAAATCTACGAGTACTCAAATTTTCAGGTTTTTTCATGCATTTTTCTGAGCGTGAAAACTCATTGAATTTAGAGTACTTTTTTAATTGGCCCACACATGGCTGAGTGGCAGAAATGGAAAATGTGCGGAATTGGCATGATGATTTTTTCGCAGTCTAAATGATTTTTTGAAAATGTTCGAATATTATTCCTGGAAAGCGCACGACCCCATCTATGAATTCTCAAAATTTCAGATTTTTCTGCGCGTTCGTCTGAGCACAGAAAATCGTCGAAGTTGCCATTTGCAAAACGCCTATTTCGTTTTGCCTGACCTCCCTGTTTTGAGAAGACGGGCCTCAACGCCTGGGCCTGAGGGCCCTCTTGCTGTTCACATGCCCTCACTTCTTTTTGGGGTCCGCTTCTAGCCGAGGACCGGTCCAACGCCCCCCAGTTCTTTTTGGGGTCCACTTCCACCCGTGGACCGGTCCTTCCTTTTTCCAAAAGTCCCGGTTCTACCAGAGCTAACTGTAGGTAGTCTGCAATTTTTTCAAGGACCGGTCCCCCAAATATTTTTGCCCCCTAAGAACCCACTTTGCATCCTGGCCGCCCCCCGCCAAAAATGCGACTCCTTAACACAGACTCCAAGTCCACTATACCGCACGCAGCCTTAGGGCTGCGAACATGAAAGAAAAAAAACAAGGGTCCGATACTGGGGCGCTCTCTCCATTACTGAAAAAATGTGCAAAATAAGATTGAATCTTATGCTGGAGGGTTTGCAAACATAACCTTTATTTTTTTGAAAAAAATAATTAAAAAAAAAAAAAAGTATATATGGCCACATTTTTCGTCTATTGTGCATGTGGAGACTTTTCCAAGGAAAGTTGAACATACACGACCCGTATGTTCTATTTTAAATAAAACACCCGCCTATTTGCATAGAACATACGTGTGTACTATTCAAGTAGAACATATGGGCGTACTATTTGAATAAAACTATGTGTGTACTATTTGAACGTGCGTATTATTTGGACTTCAGGGGGCAACTTCGAGAAAGCGACTTTTCGAAGGAAAGATAGTACATACATATGTTTTGTTCGGGAGAAGACTGTAGGATCCCCACAGACTGACGTCCAATCAAATGATGTTCAGAATAACCACAATAACAACATCACTAGGTAGGTGACCTGGGCTCCTTCAACCACCAGTACTTCATAAAGTCGTGTCTGTTAACAAGCCATGATTTTAGGAAACGTACGGGCCACTACAGGAGCGCCCAAATTCATCCGCCTAGAGGCGTTTCTATAGCTGGGCCAAGTACTGGTGGATTGAGGGGATGTCATGAGGTTGGACCTTGGCTAGGGAGGGGCCATTAGACACTGCGCGTGATATCTAGGCTATAGTTCCACTCATATGCCTGTGGCCCAGGTCATAACAACAGAACCGACTGGGGGACACACAGGGGAGGTTAAACCCCCTCAGGAAAGGCCTGTAGTCGCACGTTCACACCTACCCTGTGCAACAGGCCTTGCACAGCGTCCACTTCAACCAGGGCTGACTGGGGAATTAGAGGTCCCCTCGCTCATCCCGGGTGCCTGCAACGGCTGTCTGGTCAGGTCACCTAGCCAAGTTGGTGATGGGTGATGGCCCTGGGTGGTCCACACTAAGGTAGGACAGAGGGGTTGGGGGTGCGCCGGGGTAATTGATCAGAGGAAGGGTGGAAGGGGGTCTTCTGAGGGGGGTTACAGGGAAAAAGAAAAGAAAAAGGAACCTTTGAAACCGTACACCGTACACCCTGAATGCCGACAGAAAGCAAGTCATTCACGGTCTGTCGGTGTGGCGGTCTTTCGATTTTGGTAGAATGATCATTTCGATTTTCACGCGCGGATTGCCACGCTACTGGGTAGGCCCGGGCATAATCCGCCTGCGTGGGACCAGCTAATGCATTTGAACCGCTCGCAGAACCAGACCTAATCCGAACCATCCGAACCAAACGGAGGTATGACGTGCCGCCGCGACGGGGAACGAAAAAGGGCCCGGAGGGAATGGTCGAGTCGCACGACTGTGGGGGCTCGACAAGTGCATTAATTATGCATTGTGCACGTGGCAACTGGGACATTCGACGATAGGGGTCTCTGCGAGAAGAGGAGACTACGTAGTCTGAAAAAGTGCGGGAGAAGAGAAGTCTGCAGATTTCAAAAAGCGCGGGAAGCTCAGAGAGCGAGTGCGCGAGCGAGCGAGCGAGCGAGAGAGAGAGAGAGAGGAGGGGGGTAGGGCGGGCAGGGAAAAGCGTGAGGGATGGAGAGAGAGGATGTGCTAACTGTTGAGGGGGCTGGGGAAAAGCGTGAGGGAATAGTTTGAGAGGTGAGAGGGTAGTCTGACGGAATCGGAGGATCATTGGAAGGAAGGGGGCTGGTTACGGTTGAAGGGTCTTGTGTGTGTGTGCGGGGGGGGGGGGGGGGGGGCACGTGCAGGCTGATGAGCGGGCGATGATGGAAGCAGAGAGTCTTTGACTGTTTTGTCTGATTGACACGTGCTCTGCTAAGAACTCATTGACACGTGTTATACCTCAATCGATGTACGCAAGCCGATTTGATCAAATACGAATACTCATGCAGGGTGAGTGAGGGTGCGTTACGGAGGGGAGTTCACCAACGGGAGAGGGTCGGTAGCTGATGATGATAGCAACAACGCACAGATTGTCGACGGTAAAAACCCATTAAGCAGTGGGGAGGAATGGGATCGCGACAGCGCTCGGAGTGAAATCAGGTGCTGTGCTGCAGATGAACGGGAGAGTCCGCTAGAAAGCCACGTGGACGTCGGGATGGCGCGAGCGACTGGAAGCCGGAAAATGTCAGAACTGGTGTGATTATGAAGTCGGTGTCGCGTCAAATCTCTCCATGTGAGTGAGAGAGAGGTCTGATGATAACAAGTGGATGATGCCACGTGGACGGCTGCTCGAAATTGCCGTTGGCGCGCTTACCCCCTGTGATGACTGTTTGGTAGTATAGGAGGATGTGACTGGCGGATATAGCTGTGCCTATGTCAGAACATTATACAGAGCAGTTCCCGACGGTGAGAAAGAGATAAGAGTATGAGGTGGTTGTCGCCGATCTGACGGAATGGGGTTGTAATTTTCCTAATCGGGTCTGAGAATCATCATCAACGAACTGTAGAAGTCACATACCGACTTTCTTGATTGGGTGACTCTGATTTCGGGGCCGTCCGTTATCGCACAAGAGGATATTTGATATCATCAGACACACAATCAACGACTTTCTCTGTCGATCGCTTTTTTTCTTTTTTTTTCTTTTTCTTTTTCTTTTTCTTTTTCTTTTTCTTTTTCTTTTTCTTTGCAGTTCTTTCGACCGTTTTTCTTCTGTTAGATTACACTCATTTTTCCTTGTCCTAACCCCCACCCCCGAACCCTTTCCCCCCAAAACCTTCTGTCTCTTAGCCTGTCTACTGCTCTCTTGTCAGCCGTCTTCCCATGGTTTAGTGTCACCTCTCCTCTTTCTCTCCCCCTCCCACTCTCTCTCTCTCTCTCCCCTCTACCTCTCTCTCTCTCTCTCTCTCTCTCTCTCTCTCTCTCTCTCTCTCTCTCTCTCTCTCTCTCTCTCTCTCTCTCTCTTGCCTGTTGTCGTCTGCCCTTTGCTGACCATCTTCCCATGGTTTAAAGTCACCTCTCGCTCTCTCTCTGCCCCTCTCGTTCTCTCTCTCGCGGGCTGTCTCTCTCTCTCTCTCTCTACCCATGGTTTAGGGTCACCTCTCGCTCTCCGTGCCCCTTTCGTTCTCTCTCTCTCTCTCTCTCTCTCTCTCTCTCTCTCCATCTCTCTCTCTCTCTCTCCACTCACTCCCTCTCTTCATCTGTCTACATCTCCATTTCCCTCTCTCCCTTTCTCTTCTATATATACGTATACATCATCCCACTTTCTGTCTCGCCTCTGTCGCACTTTCTCGGTGCTCATCGTCTTTTGGTTTTCTCTACTCTTAGGGGCTGCGAAGGGTAATGGCGCCAACCGGGGACCAGACGGCTGAGATGGCATTGGCCGCGGGGAACGAGCGCGGGGAGGCTCGGGAGGGCGGCGGCGGCATTGATCGGGGGAAGGTGGGGGATCGGCCGCGGGAGGCTATGGAGACGAGCGGCGGAAGCGATGGCGGTTCGAACTCAGAGTCGGATCCAGATTCAGACTCATCAGACTCCGATGGGGATCTCGACAACGAATCTGAAGTGCAGCATCTGCAGTCCGTGCTTGCTGCCAACCCATCCGATTACAACGCGCATATGCAATACATCGGGGCGCTGCGGAGGCGGGGTATGCTTGAGAGGCTGCGCGCCGCTCGCGAGGGTATGAACGCAATTTACCCTCTGACAGCAGATATGTGGCGGGAGTGGGCACAGGATGAGGCGCGGATTGTGACAGACGAGAAGAGCTACAAGATGGTCGAGCAGCTGTACGAGCGCGCGGTCCAAGATTACCTGTCGGTATCCCTATGGAACGATTACTTGCAGTTCGTGGAGGAGAAGAATGCTGCTGCCGCTGCCTGCCTTCCGGACGGGATCCCTATCATGCGTAATCTGTTCGAAAAGGCGATCACTGCGGCCGGGCTCCACCTGACCGAAGGAGGCAAGCTATGGTCGGCTTATCGTCAATACGAGGCCAAAGTTCTGAAGGCTATGGCTATGGCTATGGCTGATAAAGGTCCAGAAGAATGCGCCAAACAGGCCGAGAGAGTGCGGAGCTTGTTCCACCGTCAGCTTTCCGTTCCGTTAGCAGATCACGCCGATACGCTGAGCCAATACGTGGAATGGGAGACGTCTTGGAGGAGAGAGAGTGTGGGTGGTCTTGGGAGCGGCGATGATGGGGTTGTGACGCTGAGTCCCAGCCTGGAATCCGCCTACGCGAAGGCAGTGGCCATGGTGAACGCTCGCCTTCCACTCGAGGAGCTGGTGGCACAGGGAAAGGCAGTTGATGGTGGGGACCACCTGGCCAGTTACTACGCGTACATCGGGCTAGAGGATCAAGGTGGGGATCCCGCCCGGGTCCATCTGATGTACGAGCGGGCTGTGAGCGCGTTCCCTCTCACTGCCGAGCTGTGGGAGAAGTATGCATTGTTTGTCGACACGGTGTTGAAAATCCCCTCCCTCGCGCGGGCGGTTCACGCACGGGCCGTGCGAAATATGCCCTGGGTTGGGCTCTTTTGGGTTAATTACATGTTAGCCCTCGAGAGAGGGCATGGGGAGGAGTCGGAGATCTGTCAGGTGTTTGAACAGGCATTGCAAAGCGGATTGCAAACGGCAGAGGAGTATCTGGATCTATTTTTAGCACGAGTAGACGGATTGAGGAGGAGGATGGTTCAGGAAGGAGAGGGGGGAGGAGGAGAGGGGCAGCAGAAAGGGTATGCGTTGGAGAAGCTGCGTGAGACATTCAAGCGTGCGGTCAATTACATGTCCGATTACGATCCCAACGGAGTGATAAGGCTGTACACGTACTGGGCGGACATCGAAGCACGCGTGGGGAAGGATGACCTGGCAAGGGCAAGAGCTGTCTGGGATGGCTGCGTTTACGGGAGCTCTTTAGCGGAGGCATGGCTAGGGTACATTCAAATGGAAAAGGCACTGGGCAAGATCAAGGAGTGCCGCTCGCTTTACCGCCGCTGCTACAGCCGCAAGTTCGACGGCAACGGCGCGGAGGTGGTATGTGATTCCTGGCTGCGATTTGAGAGGGAGCACGGGTCGCTAGAGGATTACGACAGCGCTTTTCAGAAGGTTAGGCCGAGGTTAGTGGAGATCAGGGCGCTGAGGTGGCAGCAGCAGGTGACGACTGCTGTCGAGCCTGATCAGACATCTGGCGGGAAGAGCCAGTTAGACCGGAAGGGAGCTGCTGCTGTGAAGGCAGGTGCTGTAAAGGGAGGTGTAAAGGGAGGCAGGGGGGTAACAGCAGCAGCAGGAGCAGGAGTAGTAGGAGGAGGAGGGGAAAAGCGAAAGACAGGGCCGGGAGGTAGTGGGGGAGGAGAGGCTGCAGGCAGCAGCTTGAAGAAGCAGAAAATGGAGAGTGAAGGAGGGGGGGTTGCTGGTGCGAGTGATAAAGGGGGTTTGACGGGGGGTTTGACGGATGGACAAGGAGCACGCAGGGGTGAAGAAGGCAAGGAAGAAGGGGAGGAGAAGAAGAAGAAGACGAAGAAGCAGGAGGAAGAGGGGGGGATGGACCAGGATGGAGAGGATCGTGGAGCGTCCGCCACCCACGTGGCTACCCGACGGGCGTACAGTGATCAATGCACGGCCTTTGTGTCCAATTTGTCACAAGACGCGACTGAAAAAGACCTGCAGGAGTTGTTTGAACCCTGTGGTGGTGTGGAAGACATAAGATTGGTGAGGGATAGGTGGACAGGTAGGTCGAAATGTTTCGCATATGTGGAGTTCAGCGACGCGAAGGGACTGGAGGCGGCGATCGCTTTGAATAAGACGAAGCTTCTGGGGAGGGCGGTCAGCGTGGCGCGCTCTGCGCCTCCTACGGACAGAGGAGGGAGAGGTAGAGGACGACAGGGTTTCGCAGGGGGGGGGGCGGCGCTAAACCCTCAACGAGGGAGGGGAAGGGGAAGGGGTAGAGGAGGGGGAGGAGGTGAGCCTGCGGAGCTCCTCCAAACTGCTGCGGACGAAGGTTCGACACCGACGAGTGCGGAGAGGCAACAGCGGGAAATGAGGCCGCCGGTACTTTTGAGTAGCCACAGAAGAGCGGGCCACGTAGATCTGACTGGTAGAAGCTCTGCTACAATCTTTGGCGTGCCGCGTTCTGTAGCAGTCGCTGGAAGAGGAGGAGGAGGAGGAGGAAGAGGAGGAGGAGGANTTATGGCAAAGAATAGGTGGTGGGTGATAGGAGATGAGGCGGAGGGGGAGGCAGTGGGGTTGGAGGAGGTTGGGTTAGATGAAGGGGGGTAAAGGAGTGACCTTGTGGTCATGACGATATGGGGCGGTTTCAGGAAACTGGGGGGGGGGGGATGGGGGGGTGGGGAAAGAGGAGAGAAAACTTTCAATCATGACAATAAGAGGTTCTCTCAGAAATCTGGTGGTGGCGGAGAGGGGGAGAGTGACAGTTTGTGTGAAAACGAGAGGGAGGAGGTGGAGGGTGAGCAAGTTTTGCTTTGACAGAAAAAGGGTGTTCACATGTTTGTCATGTTTGTCAAAGATGTAGTAAATTGTGTTCACATGTTTGTCCCCACGTTTGTGTTCGAACAAAGGGTGGAGAGAGAGAGAGAGAGAGAGAGAGAGAGAGAGAGAGAGAGAGAGAGAGCTGTCTCTTATACACATCTAGATGTGTATAAGAGACAGGGAGGAAGAGGAGGAGGAGGAAGAGGAGGAGGAGGAGGAGGAGGAGGAGGAGGAGGAGGAAGTGCTGGCCAAGGAGACAAAGTGTCTTCTCAAGAGAAAGAGAATGGCGACGGGGATCACAAAACTGTGGGGGGGGGGAGGGACGACACCCCAAAATCGAATGAAGATTTTCGGAAAATGCTTCAAAAGACATAAATCATAAATTTTGTGTGCATTTTGAAAGATACCCCTTTTGTATCTAATTTGTCAAGCTTTCTCCTAGACTCACCCATCATTTGTATCTCCTCATAAATTTTATGTGCATTTTGAAATATCCCTTCCTTTGCCTGCGACTCATGGAGGGTGGCATTCGGCAGCAGTTTCCTTCTTGGAGGGCAGTAGTGCAAGTTGGGTGCGTTTGCTGTTTCGTTCTTGGAAGAGGAGGAGGAGGAGGAGAGAGGATAAGGGTGGTGTGATGAAAGGCGGGTGATGATCTCCGACTCGTGAGTCTCGGAATCACTGAAAATTGTACACTGCTAACCTCTTTTTCGTCACTATACTATCCTGCGTTTGGAGGGTGGCATTTGCAGTCCCCCCTCTCTTGGAGTGCATTTGTCAGGGTGACAGTTTTCCTTTCCTTAATTGAGGAGGGAGGGTGGAGGTGGAGGTGGAGGTGGAGGTAAAGATAGAGGAGAGAGAAAATGGGGGTGGAAAGTAGTGATACTTCTTTTCCTACTCTCACCAATTTTAATTGCAGCTCCTCTTGGAGTGCATTTCTGGGTTGTATTTGTCGTTTCATTCTTAGAGGGGGGAGGGGAGACGTGTAGGTGTAGGTGTAGGTGGAGGACACAGAAAAGACGGCCAGACTGGTGGCTCGTCCTTTCTCTTCAAATCTGAAAATTTTCAAAACACTTTTGTTTGTACTCTTTTGACAAGTCTTTTTTGCCCCTCTGCCTGCAGCGCAAGGAGATTTTTCTTTCTCTTCTCTCCCTCCCCTCCCCCCCCCCTCCTCCGTCCTCTCCTCCCTCTTAGAGGAAGGGGGTAGAGACCCTTGCAACGCCGTGCTAAATAGTTGCTGGGAACCCCTCTTACCCCCTCGTTTACTTTATACATGGTCGAGGGGAACTCTTCTCACCCCCTCTTTTACTGTATACATGGTCGAGTTCTTTTCTGTTGACCGGCGACAGTCCCCTCTGTTATAAAGAAAAATGTATGTACTGTGGGCATCAGTGTGGTGGTAGTCTTGGATCATACTCACAATAGGACTTTTACACTTTTTTGACTGAATTTGGCCGTAGTTGCGGTGGGATACATTCAGGAAAGTCCGTGTGTTTGAGTGGACTATGCCGCCTTAGTGGTACTGGTATAGATCGTGGAACTCTTTTCACAGATCCATTACCGGCTTGCAGTGACGCTCGGTCGGTTCGCAGTTGGGAAAAGAGTGCTGGTTGACCCCAAAGGCCGGGACTTATTTTTTCTTGCTGCTTGTTTTTCTCCTGTCGTGGCCTGTGTTCTTCAAACGAGAGGAATATTTTGGGCATTGGTTCGAACGAGAGGAGTAAATGAAATAAGTCGAAATAGAGGAGGGTAGTGGAGGGGTAGTGGAGGAGGAGGAGGTGGAAGAGAGTGAGGAGAGAGGTGGTCAAAGCAATTAGACGAAGAGGAGGAGGGAGGAGGGGGAGGAGAGAGACCTTTTTGTGTGCCGTAGCAATAGGTGGTTTATGGCAAAGAATAGGTGGTGGGTGATAGGAGATGAGGCGGAGGGGGAGGCAGTGGGGTTGGAGGAGGTTGGGTTAGATGAAGGG